ATTTATCAGATCTAGAAACTGTAAAATCAGAAGGAATCATTGGATATTTAATCCTCCGATGGTCCGTGAACTATTCATTCTACGTCTCATTTCTAAATTTGCCAAAAGCAGACACTTTAAACTAACCAGATTCTGTCAAAACCAAAAAATTCTGCACTCCTTGACGCACCTGTGGAGCCATCAGTGACTCAGCTGTGACCAACAGTCGTTTAACAAAAAATCTGGGATTTTTCGGCTGAACTGCAGGCACAGACCAGAGAGGAGACGAGGATGGAAACAAAACCTATCTATAGTATGTAGAGTCACCATTTTTCCAGTATTGGTATATTTTTGTACATTTTTTCTTCATGATTTATGTCGTTCTAACTGCGTCATTCTGCACAGAAGACATTCCTGAATTCTCTCTTCTTCTTCCTCTTGGTTGTTCTGTTTCCACAGAGCTGCAGGACTTTATGTTGCAGAGAAAAATGAACCCACGGTGAGAAAAAAAAATGTGACAGGAGCAAAATAATAAAACAGAAACTGCTTGGAATTCAGAGGGTTAAAATCCAAATCCTATCAGTCCACATTGTGCAGGGATGTGAGTAAAACTAAGTTGTACAAAATGAAAAAGTGTTCTTTTCTAAGTGGCTGCAGATGATGCGAACTGCGACGGACTGACTGATCAGAGTCTAAAGGATGTTTTCTGGTGAATAATCTCCAACAAATTTTTCAATCAAATCAGCATCGACCACTTTTCATGCAGTAAACCTGGACCTTTCAGACGCCCTAGTTTTGTGGTGCAGTTTGTCCACCGACTTCACCTGGTCGAAAATCCAGCACACTGTTCAAAAACATTTTAAAGAAAGTGAAAACAGCCGCTCCAGCGCCTCACGCCACACAAACCGAGTCTGTGGCGGTTTAAATAAAGCTACAGAACAATGCGAGCCGAAATAGCACCTCCACCCAATAAAAGCGGGGAGCTAGGTGTCTTAAAAGAGCGAGCGCTGGAGCTCAGCAAACTCGGCTTCCGAAGAGGTTTCATGCCCTCATTCTCTGGTGGCGACAGCTAGCCGGGTGACTCATCCGAGCTCTGCAGAGGCCGAGGGCTGCCTGATTAAAACCAGTCTGCAGATTGGGCTGCTGCCCCACTTTCACACTTTCCATCGGCTCATTGGGGCCAAACTTTAGCTCTTCTGGGAGACGTATCTAGTTAGGTAACTCTCCTGCAGAGCTACTGTGCACGCTGCATATGAACAGCGGTGATCCTTTATTATTTTCAGTGCAGGCTGTTGGATATATATGTTGCTATACATCACTGTGTGCATGCTTTGTGTACTGTAGCCCAGTTCCAAAGGCATGCTAAATTTAAAAAATACACCATTCATTAGAGCCAGAAACTATATAAACAGAAGGAATCACTGGATGTTGAACATTCTGACGGTCTTTGAACTACTCATTTGCCATTCCACCAGTGAAGCTGAATCACTTTTATTGACATGTTTGACTTCTAAATTTGATAGAAAATTAACAATTAGCTCTAACCAGATTCTGCAAAAAACAAAAAATTCTTCACTCCTTGACGCAACTGTGGAGCTATTAGCGACTGAGCTGCTACCAACAGTCAGATTAGAAAAATTCTGTGACTTTTTGGCTGAACTTGCGCTTCTGGGAGACGTATCTAGTTTGGTAACGCTCTTGCAGCAATGTTTTAATATTTTTAATGCAGAATGTCCATGTTTTGTGTCCTGTAACCCCTTTCAAAGGCACGCTGTGTTTAAGAAACACCAAAATAACACCGTTCATCAGAGACGGAAGCTGTATAAACAGAAGGAATAACTGGATGTTGAACATTCTGACGGTCATTTGTCAGGCGCCATTCCATCGGTAAAGCTTCAAATTGGGACTTTCCATGGAAATCACTTTTATTGACATGTCTGACTCATAAATTTGCCAAAAATAAACAATTTGCTCGAGCTAGATTCTGCAAAAAACAAAAAATTCTTCACTCCTTGACGCAACTGTGGAGCTATTAGCGACTGAGCTGCTACCAACAGTCAGATTAGAAAAATTCTGTGACTTTTTGGCTGAACTTGCTCTTCTCGTTAAGCTCCTGCAGAGATACCGTGCACGCTGCATATACACAGCAGCAATCTTTTCATATTTTCAGGGCAGGATGTTGGATATATAAATATATATCTGCTGTACGCCACTGTGTGCGTGCGCTTTGTGTACCGTAAGCCATTGTGCAGACTTCAGAGTAGAAAAACAGCACATTTAACCTGAGTTTACCCTGTAATCGCTCTCGTCTGATTAATCATTAATGCTTGTGCTGCTGCCTGCTGGTCTGGCTGCATTATGATAACGAGAAACAAAGAGGTCCAGCAGCAGCCTCCATAAGCGAAGCAATTCTACGAGGCGTCTTTTAGGCTGATCCTGGGACCAGACAGGTGCCTCGCAGACAGTCTGAGGAAAAGTTTGTAGCGGAAAGTGACGCTCGTGTTCCTCTCAGACATTCGCTCGCGTCTCTTTTGCAGCTTTAAAAGCAAAAAAAAAAAAGAAAAAAAGAAATTAAAAGCACGTTTTTTATTACGAGCGAAATGTGAAAGTCATTAACGGCATTTTAAAGCGAAGGGAGCTCGCTCTAATTAAGCGGCAGCAGAGTTACACAATCATTTACATTCGGTGGCCGTCAAGGTTGTTGCGTTTCGGAGGCCAAACAGGCTTAATTATCCAAATCTGTTTAATGCGGTCCAATTATTTTGTTGCTCGGTGTGAGCCGAGGAGCGTTCCACGTTTGATGGAGTGAGATTTGAGATTTTACTGTCAGCGCTGACTCATGCCCACCCAATATGCTGCTGCTGCTGCTGCTGCTGCTGCCGCTGCTGGCAGATAGCAGGGCCCAGTTGTTGTTGGCGGAGCAGCCGGCATGTAAATGAAGTTGTTTACCGTGTGGCCGCAAAATATGTGAGAGCAGAGCGGGGAGAGGCCACGAGAGGGGCTCAGAGTGGGACTGTAGGTTTAACTTTTACTGTATGTGCAGATGTGTGTGGGTAGCTGACTTTCATGACACACATTTATATGAAATGAGCCGACATTATGGTTTTGAAAGTGTAAAATCAAGAGCTGCTGCAGCCAACCGAAGAAGGAGCTAATCGTACGTAACTAATCGATTGGTCCCAGAGATGCGCATTATGACTCTACCTGCAGCATTATGAGGCTAAATGATCTATGAATCAGCTGCAGATTAAATCGTTATTTGTAATAGTTAGGTCAGTTAGTTTAAGTCAACGTTTAGCTAAATAAGTTCTACCCAGTCGTCTCCATACGGTTGGATAAAAGTTAAAATGTTTTAAAAACGGGTAGCCTGATCCGTCTGCTGCCAAAAATAATGAATGAATCCCTGAAGGCTGTTGATGTAGAGCTCATAACCAGTGAGAAATGACTGGACTCGACAGATTTAAATCTATAAATGTTGTTCTGAGAAAACATCACAGACCGAGAACGGATGTCAGGCAGCTTTACTGCAGCAGAACCAGAATCCAGCTCACTCAGGAGACACTAAATCCAAACCTATACCTACTGTCCTCCTCCGAGTCACATTATTGTTGCACATAAACGATGATCATAGGGTATTTTTTTATGGATTTCTCTCAGAAAATGAGGCCAATATGACATTTTGTGCATTAATGTTGGCAAATGTTGCATGAAAACGATGCTCATGTTGCACCTCATGCAAAGTTACCGGCGTTACCGAGGAGCCCTGATGCTGAAGCAGTCTGGTTTTCATCATGTTAGCGGGAGGACGTCATGCTAAGAGCTGCTACGTTGCATCATCCAGCCCTGATTTCTGAACATGAACATTATGAGAAACGGTTAACAGTTTAATTGCACAGTTCAGAAATACACAGGTCGTGGTCTTTTTGCATTTATTTTCTCAAAATAGTTTTACATTTACTTTAAAGAGTTTCGAATTAACCATTTAAGCCGAGCTACCGATATATTAGTGTTTGCAATTTGCTTGCACAGGAACTTCTGGTACTTTTTTTTGGTTTAGGTTTTAGTCAGCACTGACAGAAAATCACAACATAATAAGAACTGGGGCTTAAATTGTGTATTTTTTTAACCAGTTTTGATGATTAGGCTTTTATTTACTAAAGCATATTAGACACTTTTGTTAGAAAATGCAGATTTCTGTTAAATAAAGGAACATGGACGACTTCCGTGAAAGTCAAGGAGAGAATTTTTTGAGGACAATGCAATAGTGTAGGATTCCCCTGAAACAACACCAACTGCATACAGCAGCAGTGATAGTTTTGCTGCATTTCTGAACTCTGACATAAATTAATCTGTCATAGAAGGTTCAAACTGAACCGCAGTAGCAGTCAAAAACCAAACAGTAACCGCACATATCCAGAGATCCGACCAGCTTCACCATCACAACCAGCCTCTGGATGCTGTTGGAGATTTTCTGACAAATAAACGCGTCACTGTTTCATTATTTTCACTTTCTGCAACATCAGAAGGAATCTCGGACGTATTTTGAAGGAATGCAAATCAAAAGAATTCTCGCTGTGACCCTCCTGGGGCTCCGTATTAACTGTACACAGACCGATCGAACACCAAAAGGTCATTCTGAGTCAGGAAAAAGCCTGATTATAAGACATGTATCAATATCAATCAAATATAACTTAGCAGAAAATTTTTAGAGCAGAATTCAGCTACAGCTCTCGTAAAAACCTTTAAATCAGATCTGTTTGGTCAGGAGAACTTTAAAATGCAGCTGAAAAGGTGAAAAAACGGTTTGTAGGTGCACATGTGAGCAGTAAAGGTTCTGTAGTATTCTTGGTTGTTTTTCATGTATGGATGCATCCTGCTTACATGCTAACAATCTGCACTGCGCACATTATGTTCATGTTTGCTGCTTCGTGGATAAAAACATGACTCAGCACACGAGTCCCGGTGGGAACATGCGTGGGTTCGTCTGCTCGTCCATGTGAGTCGTGTGTTCTCGTGTTCACCTCTGCTCTGCTGCCGGTTCACGATCCCACCGAGGGTCCAGCGGCGGTCCAGCCTCTTCAGATGGGCCTTACGGCGCTTAGTAACTACATGAAGATGAGGAGGAAGAGGAGGAAGAGGAGCAACCAAAGGAGAAAACAAAAAAATCAGGAGTTAGTGTAAGAAGCAAAGCTGTTGTTAGCTGCAGCAAAATAGTCTCAAACAGCGTCTAAAGGTCAACATGAAGGATTTTAGACCCGGTTAGATGCACAGTGTGTGGAGTTAAAAACAAGGATTAACCACTAAAGGCCTGATTTCCTCACTTTTAAAAGCAGGGATTTTAAATAAACCACTCAGTAGCAGCATTTATTAGAGAGCGCATCCTGTCTTTGTTGGTGCATTGATTACGTTGCGTACGCAGGCTGGACTGAATTGGTAATTTTAGTCGATTTTAGGGATTTTTTTTAAACGTCTGACCAGAGACAACACAAGGTGAAGCTAAAAAGTGTACAAGCTAAACCTGCACAGCTCTGTTACAGACTGAGGAAGAGGAATTAGCTCGTCTGAGGGGAAACCAGAACATTCAGGCCATGAATTAGTGGCTAAACGAAGGAGATTCATCCAGCTGCTAACTGTCCTGAAGTCTTTCCTGCTGCCTTGTCACAGGCACTAAAAGCACTTTGCTTCACTTTTTGCTGCAGGGAAACGATCATTTCAGAGTCTAGACCGACCAGCAGGAGCCTTCGTTAGTGCAGCTGCAGATTATTTAATACTTGCAGAAGCTAACGGCAATAAACAGTAAACCTGTAGATCTACACTCATCACGACTTCCCTACCCAACACCACCTCGTCATAGAAGCAGAAAAAAACGAGCAAATCATAATAAATGGCCAGAAGAATTAGTGATACAAGACGGAGAAGTTTCAGTTTCTACCCTACCTACTACAAATCAATGCTAAATCAAAGCAATGTTACTCAATGTGCAGGCGGTTGGCATTCTGTAGCATCTTTTCCATTCACACTGGGAGCAACTTAAGGTTCAGGGACTTGCCCACGGACACTTCAGCACACGGAGGGGTCGAGGATCGAACAGCGAACCCGGCGACCAGTGGACAACCTGCTGCACCACCTGAGCCACGTGCAGCGAGAGTTCATATGTTGTGCATGCATCTGTGCGGCTAACCCTGCTAGCATGCTATACCCGCTGCACTAGCAAAACGTTCTGGGTGGAAGTTTTGTTCCTCTCTTGGGTTGACAGAAAGCTTTGAGATGGTTCACGGTGCAATATGAGTAGTCGTAGTAGTAGTAGCAGCTGCTAAAAGTTCAGACACCAGGAATCCTCACGGTGACCAGAGGAGGGTTCTGCAGCTACCAGCAAGAGAAGAAACAGCAGTGTTCAAAGTAGAAGAGCTGCAGATGACAGAACCGGAAGAGGAGCATCAGGATGTTTCCCCGAGATTCATCCCCAAAGGTCGGACTGTCATGGCAGAATTCTACTGTAACATCCTGAGGTGTCTGAGGGGGAACGTTTAGTGCAAATAACCTCACAAAGGTTGTTTTTTTTGGGCCACAACAACACGATCGATGTTCCCCACCGACCCAAGATGAAATTCAAGTTGAAGGATCAACGTTTTGACACTGTTTAACCGATCCATTGGTGCACTGGGAGCAGAGTATCGCAGCACGAGGGGACCAGACAAATCTACATCAGATTTCTGACAGTCGAACCCAACTTTGCATACCGATTAATTCAGGTAGAGCAAGACATAGCTGGTATCAACAAGAAGCTGTTCTGAGCACCTGATGCTGTTGCTTGGATCCATTTCTACATCTACAAACTTGCATCTTATCGAGTCTAAAACCAGCAAGAACCTGTTTCTGACGGGGAGTCAACTTTTTTTGTAGGGTATTCAAGCATACGAAAGGTTAAAGTAAACACGAGACAGAGATTTTTTTTGCGGGGCCTCGCTCTTGATACCTGTCCAACCAGTCTGCTAATGTTACTACAGAGTCCAGATCAGCCAGCATCACGGCCCGTATTGATCTCCGCGGGACCGTTAACGTTATGTAGCTGTTGTGCGCTGAACTCTTAACCTCGTTCGCTCCTTATTGATTCAGAGCCCGTGTGATGAAGCAGCAGTCATAATACGATGAGTCATTCTCGTGTTTCTTCTGAGGCCGCATGAGCAGCGCACACATTAATGAGGGGAAGGATGGATGGAAGCAGCACTTGTCTTCCATCCATCTTTCGACGGCGGTAATCTAATTCCTTCTTCTGTCCTCTCTTATCTCTCCATCATTCCTCCCGCTCGACATCCGCCCTCCTCGCCTCGGTTTCGCCTCTGCTACTTGTCATTTCCTCTCGCTTTTGATTCCTTCCCTTCCTCCTCATCCGTCCCGCCGAGCGCCACCCTCCTCTCCCGTTTGACCTCCTAATTGAAATATCAGCTATGGGAAGGCACAAAGGGAAATGTTATTTCGGGGTAATTTCAGCGGGGCCGGCCTGTCGGTTCCTCTCCAGCGAGCCGAGCTGTCGGTGGAATTAGGTTACAGACCACGCCGAGATAATGAGATGTAAGAGACGACAGCGAGCGGCGAGGAGGCGGGGGGGGGAAGATCCGCAATGAGAAGTGACGATGTGTGCAAACACAAAGACGGCGGGCCTAATGGGAAAACGGTGGGGCCGCCGACGGACGGAGGAGGAGGAGGAAGACGATGGGTGCATTTACATATGTGCAGCTCAGGAATTTCCACAGTGAAAAAAAAGGAGTTTATCTGCATGCCAGGTTGGTGTGAGATCATGGCACCACTGGAGACGCAACATGGCAGCATCTAAAGTCTAAAGTAAAAACAACAGAAGTGATGCAGAGGAAAGAACCTGTTACATGACATTACAAAGCTTGCAAATATAAGAGCAAATAACTTCCATCTTGCTGCTCAACAAGCTAGTTTTAATCTCTGGATTCATGATTATTTATCTTTCTGATTTAAACCAGGTGCGAGAGGTTGCTTACATGCGTGGATGTATATGTACAGTGTAGATAGGAATGTTTTAATATGTGGTTTTATACATGTTTGTTTTCTTTCTGTGCCAAGTTGTGCGTTATATCCGACTATCTGTGGTCGCTCAGAGCTGGAGGATTTGCACTGCTGCCCCAAGCAGAGGACAATAAAGTTTGTTTTATCTGTTGTTACAGACAAACAGTGAGACAACAACTGTGTGGTAACTAAAAAAAGATGTATTTTAACAAACAAAGCCCAAAAAAACCACGTGTATCTTATCCTGTTTTATCTTATCTTGCATTATCTTATTCTGTCTTAAAGCATCTCATCCTAAATTGTCTTATTTTATCTTCCTAATAAACATGAACTCAGTGCATCAGAGGTGGACTTTCCCTTTAACCGCTCAGACCTTCGGCTATTAGTTGGAAATTCCACCTGAAGAAACTCAGTCAGCAAAAAGCCGCACAGCTGCACGGTCAAACTGCACCGAACGGCGTTTGGCCGGACGCGAGGCAGGATTCTACAAAACATCTGAACCTCCGATGCAGCCGAAATGTTTTCTGCTGCCGCTTTTCAGGGAACGAATCCGATGAGTCAGGACTCTTAACTGTGGCAGATTGGACCAAGTTTGCCTCCTAACATGTGGTTAGCATTGGGAAAGGCTTTTATTTTAACCCAAACCAGGATCGTTTTTTTCTCTAAACCGAACTACAGAGTGACTGAAAAATGAAAACAAATCTGTTGACGAGTCCTGAGCTTGACCTCCGCTCCACCGGAAGACGGCTTGTGCTGGAGGTCGCCGTCGCTAACGGGTAACGAGTGTAAAAATAGAGACCGTCCTGATCAAACATGCGTGTTGTGGCAATGAGAAAGTATTGCACATCCACTGTCAGAAGAATTGTCATAGAATTTGACTTTTTAATCATGTAGATTTCTTGCCATCACCTGTGTACCTACATACTTATGAGAAAATGTGTTCTGTATCCCTATGAATCGTTTTAACTTTGCATTCTCCACCTCTGTTGTTCAGAGAAACGAGCAATCGCACAAAACAACAGAAAAACAGCAAACACGAGGGCAGCTAGTGGGAGCTCCCGGCAGATTAGCGCATGAATCTTTACATTTTTTTCAGAAATTAGCCGTTTCCGACCTGGAAAACAGCAGAGACGAGGAGTGTAAAGTGGCCACAGAACCACGATATCGCTGAAATAAACTAGAATGAACCTGCTGCAGTGAGAAACAACAGCGATCCACCGCAGCGGTAGACGTGCGTTGCCATGCAGCTGTTTCCATGTGTGCTGCTGATTATTGTGATTGGGTCATTTCAGGCCAAACAAAAACCACCTGAATAAGGACATTTTTTAAAAGCAGAGTGTAATTTAACCTTGTAGGTGTTGTTTTCTTTCTGTGACATGTTTTTTTAAACGGCAGGAAAAAGCTTCCTCTATCCAAACTGTTGTCATAATAACGGGCGAAGCTGCACAAATGAGCCGAAATAAAGAGGTGTAGGTGCTCGATCACGACGTATAACATATATCTGAGCGACAACGACGTCCAGAACAAACAAAAAGCCATTAAATCAGCAGGCAACCGACGCTTTCATATTCATTAAACTGTTGTTTCATCTCCGGCTTTGCGGGGTTATTGGAGGTTTCGCTGTTACTGGCAACATCTATGAAGTGTGTGAAGAGAATAAAAAATTAAAAAAAAAACCTCCACAAAAAGAATGAGAACAGCAAATAAGAGCGAGTGTGGCAGCTGTGCAGGAGCTGTCATCTCTCCAGCAGAGCGTTAGCGTTGCAGAATGTGCACCGGAGCGAGGAGGTTTGCATGTGTTGCCGGATAATAAACCATCGCAAACGTCTCTGTTTCTTCGCCACACGTGGCCGTAAATAAACGCTCGCACGGATTCGTTGGCGTGCGCGCGTAGCTGCGTGTTTGCACGTTATTTGTCTCCATCATGGCACGGTGATGAAACGCAGTCAGACTAAACACTGGGGAGGAAGGGTCACAACAAAACGAGGCTCCTGCTGCAGCCTCCCGGGGGAGTGAAAGGAATTTTCTGCAGTGCCAAAGTATTGCAACCCCTTTTGGCTGCGGTCTGGTACCGCTTCGCCGTGGTGCTGTGGTCTCCAAGGTTCCTCATGTGTGGCTGGAAGTGTGTTTGTGTGCACGTTTGTGTCCAGCACTGACTTTTAGTGTGAGTGTTTGTTTTCTGTCTTGTCAGCGCTGGATTGAAAAGGGACAAAGAGAAATCACAGAACAAGCAGCTTGTCTCCCTCGTGGTTTATGGATTTAATAAAGCCGTGTGAACTAACCTTCCCCGGTCCTGGATGTGCCCAGATCCAGGTCGTCTCTGGTTCCATTCTGGGAGTCCAGGTACGTAGCTGGAACCCAACCCTGCTCCTCCGATGTGCTGACGAACCACCAACCTGGAAGGAGACACGAAGAGACGAACACGTCAGCATCAAAGCAGCAAATCATGTTGTTAGTGTTTAAAAAATCTGTTTCATTGCCATGAAGATACAACAATCCACTGTTAGGATTAGTGCTGAGATGATTCTGTGCTCATGTTGTGTTTATTTCAGTCTCGGGAGAGAAACCGAAAACAGAAACGACACGTTGTCTTCAAAAATAAACTTTAAATTGCCAAAATGACATCATTGTCAGAGCCAGAAACTGTGAAAACAGAAAAAAATATCTGTCATGAACTAATCATGTGCAGCTTTGTCTGAAAAATTCACCAAATTTAACTTTAAAACTGTGATATTCCATCGAAATCCCTTCATTCTACATGTTTCATTTAAAATAAAGTTTCAACCACATTCTGTAAAAAACACACAAAATTTTTGACTCCTCAGATGAACCGAGAAGCCACGAGTGACTCTGCTTTGACCAACAATCGTGTGATAAAAGTTCTAAGAGTTGGATTGAACCGCAGGTGAGTGTGTAAATAAATAAAAACTGTAAATTATCTACAGGATGCACCACTTTCCAGGATTGTGGTTTTTAGAAATCTTTGCAAAATAAATAATCAAAATAATTCAATGCTTTTCTTTTCTTTCTGATTTATTGCTTCATAACTTCGGACCGCAGACGTTTCTAAATCCTCTGTCATTCTAGTCGTGGTTGTGTTGTTTCCATAGTGATGCAGGACTTTGTGTCGCAGTGAAAAATGAGCCCACAGTGAGCGAAAAACCCACCCAGACGCTACGAGGAGTTCAGAGGTTTGAGGCAGTAAGAGTTGCTTGATTTTTTTTAGTTTTTTTTTTTACACCACGCAGTAGAAATTACTCATCATTGTTCACTCGTCTCTGTACTGCAGTAAAATGCGACAGTCAGGACAGAAGCTCCTGCAGTGTTTTGGCGGTAAAACATCTCGTCCGTATCAGCGTGACTCGGAGATCTGACGAGGACTCACGGCGGCTCAGAGCTTCACCTTCTTGGAAAGTTCTCTTCTAAACCAGACACAGGAGGGGGAAGCGTCGGAGACTGAAACTGCAGGACGGAACTGTAGGAGGTTTAGAGACGCTGCATCGCTCTGTACGAGATGAGTTATACTGCTGCTCCGCTGGTCGGATCACTGTAACATGACCAAGATATGTGGCTCCAAATCGGAGAAATCAAGAACACAAGTTTACAACCGCACCACAAGGGAACGGCTAATATTGATGTTTAAAATGCTCCACTCATGTAGATAAAATCACCTGGTTTCACTTTAGGTAAACTGTCTTTAAACGCTTTAACTATTTCCAAACAATTTTTTGTTTGATTTGCTGCACTGCAGGAACTGAGTGGAGACTAGAAGCTTCTCTGGCTGGAGGTCATTACACGTCACATAAGTCTTCGTCATGGTGCCCGTTGCTAGCTAAACTCCCACAATGCTCTCTGCTTGCTGGCATGAACTGCCTTGAGTGACGCCTCCTCTGGTCCCTACAGTATTAAACAATACGAGGCTCCACCTGGTGGAACAACCAGGTACTACAGCTGATCAACAATACATTTTCTGACATGCATGTAGAGAATACAGGTTTTCTCCGTATTTTGGAGCTTGTGGAGCCACAGTACACCCTAAAGTATAACACCTAATTTCAGACAGTGTCCGACTGGAGCTGTACAACAAGCTTTCATCTCCAGAACATTAAGGAACAGATTGGATGCAGAAATGCAATGTTTTTTCCTTAACGCATCGCAGAGCTGTTCAGTTGTCAAGCATATACAGTTGGTTAATTTGAATAGCTTTAATGAACTTGAGGTGTGAGTTATCCAATCATTAGATTGGGATTAAATCACTACTATGGGATTGTGGGGCAAAAAAAGCTCGTCCAGAACATCTCTAGTTTAAACTACAGCCGTCAAACTCCTGTTGGGGTTTGAAGGAAAAGCCAAGAAGGAAGCTCAGATGTGTTAACAGCAGTTTATTGTACATGTAAGTGGCTTCACACTGCTTGTGAGGCTAAAGATGGCTTGATGGCTGATTTGGTGCCATTAGAGACTCATCATGGGATTCTCGGCAACACTTTCGATTTTCATTCCTAGCTGAGTAACTTCCACAACTCTCCGATGCCAAATTTGACAAATCTTTTGTCTTTAGGGGAAGCTTGAAAGGTTTCCCCTGTTTATTACTGCTGCTCTCCACTTGGATGAAACCCTCCTCGCTTCACCCCGACTCAGCAGCTGTAGCGGATCCATCCCGCTCTGACGAGAAACTTTGCGGTCGCATCGACGATATTGTGTTACAACATCCAACTGAACCGACTCGACACAATTGCAGAAACACATGTCACTTTGGGCGCCGACCAAAACCAGAAAAAGAACCGAAACCCCCCCAATGCATTTACATCCATCACATTTGTTGACAGCTAGCATGTGTCATCGACTGACGAGTGTGTTTACAAAAAAATCGACAGCATTTGTGGTGGTGGGGTTGGAAAACGGCAAAAGAAAAGAAGATGTGGCGTCAAATCTGACTAAAAAACCCATACACGAGACGTTATAGAGCACAAACTGGCATCACAGCCGACTGAATAAGCTAGTATGTCACAGAATCGTGCTTTTTAAAGAACAAAAACAGCAGAATATGTTTAGGAAGCAGCTTCGCTAATGCTTTAGACCAGTGTTTGTGGGCTTTTTAACACCACGCCATATGTTTGCTGTTCACACCCTAAATCCAACGACTTAGACCGTCTGAAGCGCTCAGACTGTTTGTAAGTACAGTAGAGGTGAAAAAAAACAGGGTGGAGGTACAGAACAAAAATGGCAACAAACAGTTTTTTTTTCTTCAGTTTCTCTAAATGAGTCCAACAGTTAAGTCATCGCAGCGCCAACGTATTTACATGGACGCGAGTTCTGATGTGGCGCGACTGAATCAACCCATCACGCCCTGTTTTTTATGACACCATTCGCAGCGATGTGTAGGATGAACGATGTGGAAAATATGCCTTTACTCAGAGCTGTATCAGGAGGAGAAAGTAACTGTAAAAGTGAGAAGGAGTTGGTGTGTTTCCTACTGTAAGAAGAAGAAATCAGAAACGGTGCAGCTTTAATTATCAGAAAAGAGTACAAATAACATCCAAAGATAATAATCAAACATATACGAAAGAGAAAAAAAGCAGATTTTTGCCATTTGAGAAGCTTGAACCACTGATTATTGGGATCCTTCATGTGACTAATTATATTTTAATGTCTGTTTTAACTATTTAAAGCTCAATTTCTCCTATTTTACTTGTTTTGACACCAGATTTATTTGTTGGGACACTTAATTGGGTTATTTTTGTGCAGAAATGACTGATTATTTGGTCACGTTGTGTTTGTTATCATTAGAAAATAGCAAAACGTGCAATAAAAGATTATATCGTCAATATCCGATGAAAAAGGGGGGAAAAAAATCTAACATAAAGCAAAGTTATTTTCTGAATTTAAGAATGAGTGAATATTTGTATGATTCTTTTTACTTCCACGTCTGCTTTGACTATCAGATTTATTTGCATCATTTGTAATAAAAAGTTAAACTTGTCTCTCCTTCAGGTTATTTAATGACTTTCTACTGATCGCTGTGTTCACATTCCTCATTTTTAGTGCAGACGCTAATGATTATTTGGCCACTGTGGCTATTTTTACTGCTTAATGAGCCTGTAATGATCAGAAAGCTAAAAACGTGACATGTTTAATCTGCCCTGAGACTGATGAGAAAAATCAAACATGCAGCAAAAGAAGAGTACATTTTTTAAATGTAAGCAGCTTAAATGAGGGAATATTTGGTATCTTTTGCTGGATTAATTGGACTTTAATGTCTGTTTTGCTGATTTGCTGCTCCCTGTCTTGTATATTAGTTGCTTTAACAACACATCTATTAAAAAAGTTAAAGCATTTGGTGCGTTTAGCTCGACGACCTGATCGCTGGCATTACTGCTGGTTACTTTAAGGTCACTGTTCACTTTGATTCCACTGCTTGACGAGCTCAGTTTCTCATATTTTAATTCCCTTTGACACCATAAAACAAGATCAAACTTTATTGATTCCTCGCTGGGGAACTTCAGAACAGAATCTGCATGAAGAAACTTGTTAAAGTACTTTTTTCTGGCAGTTATTGTCGGTGTGTTTTGACGCTAACAAGCTGAGAAAACTCTGAGGAGCAGTAGAGTGTTGTTGGGCTGACGGTGAGCAGATCCAGCAGAGGATCCAGTCCGGCCTCCTGCATCCCTCTGTGTACCGTACGAGCAGAGTGAAGCCTGAACCACCACCATAAAAACACCTTCTTTCACACTGAACCTCCCTGAACTTCCACCACAGTAGGTCAAGCCTGGCAGCGAACACAGGACCTGATTCAAGCCGAGGCACGTCGCCCGTCCAGCCGGAGCTTTCTGCAGATTCCCGCGGAGCATCCTGGGAGAGTTCGGACGGCGTCAGCATCGATTCGGGAGCCCGCTTTGCTTCGGCTGCAGTCTTCACGTGAAATTGCATTTGACGTTGTGGCAGTTATACGGCGCTAATTAAATCTTACACCACAGCTCGCGGTGGAGGAGGCCCGGCGCTGTAACGAGCAGCGATCGCCGCGGTGCAAACACTCGTAAACTCAGGAGGAGGCTGTCGAACCCGAGCATCTACTGGACGTCTGCCAGGTTAGAACAGCGGCGGCCAGACAGCGGCTTTAACTCTCCCAACAGTTTCTGGGAGTTTTTTTTTTTTTCTGCTCCTGTCACTGTTTTACTCTCGACGGGCTCGTTTTTCTTTGCAATATAAAGTCCTGCAGCTCCACGAAGAAGGAGAGAGGACTCAGAAATGTCCATCAGAAGTTTGTTTTTTAGTGTGTTTCCA